CAGGTGTTTGTTTTGCCATAGCCGATCGCTTTGCCAGGACAGCCCGCGCATCAAGAAAAGCCTGCGCCGGGACTGATCTGGCTCAGGCGCCGCGTAAGGCAAGCCTTGCGTCGCGCCCTCAGAGCTAGTCAGACAGCGAATGCAGCACGCAGCAGCTCCACCATGAACACAGGCTTTCTAACCGGATGCTGCAACCTTTGCTTGGACTTCATGGACGTCCTGCTTCGAGTGCCACGGCATTTGGTTGAATGGTTTAGAGGCAGAGAGACAGAGAGACAGAGAGGCAGAGAGGCAGAGAGGCGAGAAGGCACACGAGACATCCAGAGAGACACAGAGAGAAGCACGGAGAGACACAGACAGAGACACAGACAGACAACTTGATTTCATCATGATCTGTCCCTTGGATTCTGGGAACCATCATTGGTGTTTTTCTCAGGTGCTGGGTCCTTTGCTGGTCGTGCTTGCCGTGTCCCTGATCTCCTTTGTCGCGTGCCTTGCAAGGATGCGCATCCTTGCGTTGCTGTATTGAACCTGTTGCAGGTACACGTTCTTCACTGTGCTGATTCCATACTTTGCGGATGGAGGAACTCCCTTGCCGTTGTGCAGAGCTCAACGAGGGCCCAGGCTCTACGGAACGCAAGGAATGCGCTACCATTCAACGTTTTGATGTTTTGTCATGGGTGTGGGTCAAAAAAACGCCACCAGGGACCGCCGGTTTTAGTCTTTGGTTCCATTTACCAGGGTTCCATTTTGGGTACCTGTTTTTGACCCAGAGCCATATGTTTCACTGATTATGATGAGCATGCCCATCATTCGCTTGCTTGCATTCGTCTCGCTGATTTTGCCAAGGCTGCTGGCTGAGTTGGCACTGGGTTGCTTTTTGCTGGAGCCATGGCTTGTTTGTGTTCAGATCGGCCAACACTTCACCATTTTGGATGTGGCTGATGGGACTTTTGATTTGTGGCCAGGTCAATCTGTTGTATAACTACGCCATGGCCATTTGCCTCAATGCTGGCACACCACCTGAAAGTGCAGGTGTGGTGTGTGCAGCATTGCATTTCTCCCAAGTCCACGGCTTCCCCGAAGGTGACAGTGCAAAGGATGCAGAGCTGGGTGTTGTTGGCTTTGGTTGTACCAAAGAGTGCCAAAAGTCCGCACCTCATCCTTTTGGCTTGCGTTTGGGTGGTATGTTTGGACTGGAGGGAAGACTGAACGTGACTCAGGTGCTTTCGCTCCAAGCCACCCCGGGCGCACCACTGCAGTGCCAGTGTCTTGTTCGCGAACAGGTATCCATGCCCAGCCTGACAAACTTAGGTGTGCAAGCGATGCGTGCTGAAGATGGACCATCATTGTCCATGGATCAACAATTGCGTCGGCTTCAACAACTACAGGTGAGCCACTGTCTAAGTGGCTAGGTGCTTGCTGAAAAGGTGGCCATTTGTGCAAAAACGCATTCCAACACTTCTATTTGATGATCACTCAATGTCAAGAGGTACTTTTGCCTGTTCATGCTCTACCTTGCCTTGCCCGACCCCAAGTGAGGAGATCCGAAAGGAAGATCGCGACGTTCGTTCTTCCGCCAGGGGCTGTTTGTATGTTGTCGTCATGGGCTACCACCTTTTCTTACGATCTGTAGTACCTTTGAGGCCGGGCATCAGAGTGAGTGCATGCAAAGAGCAGAGTTATTGCCAGGCGGAGGCCAGCCAAGATGAGTTTTGCAGATGCTCAGCCTCTACCTAAGGAATCTGATTTTTTTCACCATCTCAATTCTGAATGCTTGGTGAATCGACTAGGTGCATGACACTCTCCTGGCTCATCTCTCTTTGTATCTTCCTTGCGCCAGGCACTCAGAGACCGGTCCCTGGGGCCGCCGTCCGGGCTTGACCGCTGAGGCTGTGTCTGCTGGGAGGCTTCCACCTGCGACTTGGCCAATGGATAGACACGGTGGGTCATGCCTCTTTGCGGATGGTTGCCACTCCATTTTAGAAGGCTTCCTGGGTGTTCACCGGGTGCGCATCGGGGTTCTGACCCATAGCCACACCTCCCCAAAAATTCAGCAAGCTTTGCTTGGAGGGTCCCGGGATGCTTAAAGGTACTTGGTTCTGACGAACCAGACCACCATTGAGTTTCACGTCAACCTGACGAATCGGCATCTTGCCAGACGGAAGGGCGAAAGCTACAGGACTGAATCTGGTGACAAACATCGCAGCGGGAAATTGCTCTTTGCAGGAATCCGTATGATTTGGGCTGGTCTCGAAACTTCCAGCAGGCAGGGAGCAGATGGAAACTCCATTGCGCATCGGGTCAGCTGTGTGCTTGAGCATATTCTTTTGTGCACTTGTGCAACGCTTAGACATGTAACCTGCCAGGTATTTGGACCGAACAAGTTCTTCCACTTCCTGTGGATGATGCCGTACTTGGCCAAGAGGCCGATGGCTTGGCTTGAATTCGCGGTGAGTCTTGCGAGGGACACTTGGCAAAATGCACGCTGGTTTGGACCCTGGCTTGAGGCCAAACGGGGATGGCTGCTCTTTCCCATCCATGTGGAGCACTTACGCGATCAGCCGCCCTGGTCTCTGTCTTTTTGGCCGAATAAGGTGCGAACTTGAAGCCTAAACGGGGTCCTGGAGATCAAGATGTCGTGCATGGAAAATGCGATCTCGTGGATGGATTGCTCTTGCTTGTGAGTAGAGCAATCGCATGCTGCACTGCAGGGCATGACTGCAACGCAAGAAAGTGTTGCCGCTGGGCTTGGACTCTGCAGTTTAAGCTTCACATCGGCTGTTGGATCATGATCGACAACCGTGCGGGCTTGCCGCAGGACAGGATCATGCCTGAACGTAACATTGCCGAATGGTTAGTGGCAACACCATCCACAGCACCGATTTGCTTATGCAACATTGACAAGAGGGTCAGTCACTTCCCCAGCGAAGAAGTCTCAACATAAAGACACCACTCACGGTTTTTACCGCTCGCGGAAAGTGGTAGGCAAGTGCATCACTTTTTTTGTTGTGAGGAGCTTGCCGGCGACAGCGTGGGCCTGCCTTGCGCGCGTATCCGGTCCAAGAAGTGGTCCAATGGATTGCCGACGGCGGGACACTGTGTCCACAGTGTGCAGAACTGGGTTTTTCCACTCACGCGAGGTGGAGCTGAAGGTTGCCAAAGAGGAGGGCTTTCATTTGTGAAGGCCTTAGGTAGCATTTTCGATCCTTAGCTTGCAGAGCGAGCAATACACAGGGGCAGTGAAGAACGAATGAATTCAAAGCAAGCCAAGCCAAAAGAGAGCAGTGTTCTGCGCAAACCAGCAGCATGCTTGTTAGTGTCAAGATGTGCGCACTTCTAAATATTAAGTTCCTCATGTCCTCAAGTGTGGTACCAAATTGAAGGCGTTAGCATTCTGCAACATGTTTCTGCATCCTGAAACGCGTTTTCTGATTACATTACATTTTTCTGTATACGGGATTGGCGTTCCGCCTGCAATGCTCCACAGCGGAAAGGAAGGATGTAATGATGGATGAACTACAACGTCAAACAAAGAGACACCAACTCACTAGCCAACAAGCACACAAGCGCGCACACACAAACACACAAACAGACACACACACACACAAAAACACACAAACACACAACCACACACACACACACAAACAAACAAACACACACACACACAAACACACACAAACAAACACACACTTGAACTCCAAATGGAGGGTGCTAATCTTTCGAGTACAACTGATGAGTCTCGAGTACAACTGATGAGTCTCGAGTACAACTGATGAGTCTCGAGTACAATAATTTTCGGCTCGCGAAGCACTCAGTTTCCCTCTAGAGGCGAAAACGTTACCAGAAAGAACAAGAAGCACAAACAGCCTGACCTGCCGGACAACTTGTTTCGGGAGTGGAAACGGGTAACTGATCCAGATGATGAGACTCGTGAACCAGGTCAAGCATGGACAATTCGAGACTGGCAACATCAAGGTTATCAACGGATATTGTCCCGCTATGAGTCTTTCTCCACCCATCATGCTCCGGATCAACCACTTGTTGACGTACAACTTGGAGATCCTTCGTCCCCGTCTTCTGAGCGGCGCCGTACAGAGCGTGCAATTTCTCGTTCCCCCCGCCGCTGTGGATATTTTGGTAGACGTTAAGGAGTTAAGAAGTTGAGCGAGTGATCTTCCGGAAGTGAAAAAGAGAATTTTCGCCCCTCGCAGAGGGGCGTGTGTGTGTGTGTGCGGAGTGGCAGAATACCCTGCCACCGCAATTTCTCACGCAGGGGGGCAACGGACACTCTGGGTCGCGTTGCCCAATGAAGACCGTCCAGAGTCGTCGTGAAGCAACACGGGACGCCGTGCTGTGTACCTGCGCCATTTTTGACAGTGATTCTGAAAGTCTATTTGGGCCCCTTGGTTGCGGCTCCCGGAGTGTAGATCCGCACCCACTCCTGACCTTGCCAGACGGAATATTCGAGCCATGAGTGCTGCTCGTCAATCCGGGCCGACGTCCGATTTGCATCATCTGTGTCCATGTCGAAGTGAAAGACAGGGCGTACCACAGGTTCCGATCCAGCTAGCAAGGAGACAGTCACCATGCGCAACCATCCCTTTTGTGCAACGATCAAACCGCATCAATCTATTCAGCAACTAGCTCGAAGATAGGCTTCTCCTTGTTGGTAGAGCTGCATGGTTGGCTTGCAGGTAGATATGGATCAGCGACCCCAATAGACTCAGGTGGCTCAACGTCCCGAGAAGTACGTACCGGTTGGTGCTGGTGGGACGCTTGACGCGCGCGATCCGACAGCTGCTGACAGATCCCTGCTTGAAGACGAGTGAGATCCTCAGTGGAGAAAGCCGAAGCATCCGAAGATCGAAGAATCGCATTCAACATCTGCGTAGACATACACAAAGCCGATGATTGCGTGGCCACGTTATGTTGATCAGGAGAAGACATCGAATTGAAGCCGTGATCAGGTTCAGGAGCTGCAACGCGCCGGTAACCTTCTGTGGTCCAATCTTTTCTTGTACCAAGTGCTGCTGGTGGGTTGATCGCCGATGATTTGGGGTATAGAACTCCCTCCATTCCCTGTACGTATGACGTGGAGGAGGGTCATCACGTTCGTCCTGTGGTGTCCATGATCCCGGATGAAAAATCTTAACCCATTGAGCGTCAGGTCGCTGAGGGTCAGGGCACCATTCTAGCCACGGCGTGATGATTGTCAAAGGTGCACACGGCTGCAAGGTACAAACATGATACAAGGTAATCAATCAAAAGGCCGCAGGCAATGTATTCAAGACGCAAGACTCAACAAGCGCAATGTTTTAAACAACATTCAGTCCAAGCATCAATATCACTCGTCCCAGTCAAAATTAGGATCATAGCTCGGCGGGGGAGAAGGTTCACGCCACGTGCCATCAGGAACTGAAGACGCCGACGAGGACGACAATCCATCGGACACGAAATCTGTCAATCCAATGTATGGACGTGGGTCACCAAGGCGTTGGTATCCCCGCGTGTGCCAATCACGAAATTGCCATGTGTGATAGGATGCGTAGGAGACCGGTGTTGCGAGTGCATCCGCAGTGGTGCCTCCTGTGCTGTCACGCGGCAAGTACACGTCAAAGTGGTAGACTCTGCGCCATTCGCGATATGTGGACGCGCGGTCCGGAGCCGGGCCTAAGGTGGATTCTGCCACACGCTGCCACATGCCCGGTGTGTAAACACGAATCCACTCCACTCGTGTCTTCCCCGGGCCGCGCTCAATGTTGTACTCAAAGTAGCGCGGCAGCATGACAACCGAATGCGTCACTATGAAGCAAGGGGTCTGCGATAGAACAAACATGCCATAACCAACATTCAAGCCATGCACAATCAGCAAGCGATGCAATGCAGAACAACTTTTCAAACTCAAGGCTAGATGCAGCGACACAGCATGTAGGGTGTTTCGGCACCGGTTCACCGCCGTTGATGACGTGCGCATCTGCAATGGAAATGTCCTGGTTGACGTCGCGCACAGGGAGAAAGACACTTCCGTCCATGATGTAGAAAGGCGTGGCAGTAATGCTTGCATCTTGTAGTTCTGGACCGTGTTGCGCGAGTAGACCTTTTGGGAGTGAACACGGTGAAGGGTCGTCGAGAATAATGCTCTGCAGAGGTTGATGCAGTAGCTTTCAATGTGCGAGTGCGCTTTGGGGTGCGCGTGAGACTCCGAAGATCATCAGCACTGAATTGGTCGGCACTGCGAACTGATCGCCGTGTGCGTTCAGAGTTTATAGTAGCCGGGCAAGATTGTCCTCGGGGGGAAGAAGTAGTTGAAGTCCGCAACGAGGGCATAAACTGCGGGTGAAGAATCTTCGGTGGCGGTGATGGTGGTGGAGGTGGAGGAGGTAGTGCCAACTGTGGCGGAGGTGGTGGTGGTACCGTCATAGCGTTTCCTCTTGTGAAGTGAGGGTCCGTGATACTGCAACCATGTCGGCTGCACTCCATGGTCCAGGTTACGAATGTCTGCACATTTTGTTCCATCGTGATTTGAACACTCAGGACAGCAATGCACAACCACGCAAAAGAATTTTGACGGCGCCAACGCTGCAAAGTAGTCTAGCTGCGTGCCTCAAGTTGCTGATAAACCTTCCATGCCTGCTTGACTTCCTCGGCAGGCTTCTGGAGGGAGCGGGCAATAGTCTTGTAGGTGGGCCTGGCATCCTTGTGTTTTTTGCGCCTGACCATCTCATCCAGCTCACCTTGTGTCCACGCCGTGAATGGTTCATGAATTCCTGTAGAAGTTCTCGAGGTCCATGTACCACTGTCGGTGATGGGCGAAACGATGAAGCACCGGGAGGGGGACGGACAGAACCGTCCGAATCCGAATCAGGCGTAGAAGAGGGTGTCATCACCGGTCCATGGTTGTTGCTTGCCGCGTTGGGAGCAAGTACTCTTGGTGGTGGTAGTCGGTCAACAAGAGCATCTGGACGAAGACCATCGTCTCCTCCTGGTCCGGGAACTTCACGACGTGTTTCCCGAGGAGGTGACAGTTCAGGCATATACCAGGTCGAAGAAGTGTCCACGGGCCAAGAGGTGGTGTGCGCGACCGATCTGACGTGATGCGTAGTCCATGTCTTGAGTTGCGTGGCGCCCGCATCCGGGGATCAGATTCCGAATTCCGATCTACCGCCAGGGCGAAGTTCAGGGTGTCCAAGGCTGGCAACTTGGGAGGCGAGAACGTTGAGCGCCGCCACCAGGTTATTCACGAACTCTGGAGACAACCACATGGCAAGCGTAATAAATGCAAGGACAACACAAGCAAGAGGCGGCTGCGAGTGATCAAAAACAACGCAAACTGGCATGCATTACCGCTAAATCTGAGGACTGAGGACCTTTTACCGCTCGCCGAGCTTCAACGGCCATATGAGAGTCCGGATGGTCGACACGCCGGCATAGCTTTGACTGCTGGGGGGTGTTTCGGCACGGCGTCACGATGGTCCGAAGCAAGGGCAGGTCCCCGACGGCCAAGTGGTCGTCTGCGATGACTACGGCTTCGAGACCGATGCCGATGCGCGTCACGCCGTCTGGACCTTCTTCTCCGATTGCGCTCTCTGGGGGCGCTGTCACTCACTGGCTCGACGAGATCGGCCGACTAGTAGAAGTAGAAGTAGAAGTAGGCATCGATGTGTAAGCTGGTCTCGCCGACGATGCCTTCAGAGATGTTGGCGCCGGTATTGAAGGAGGCGGGAGCGGTGGCTGTACCTCGGGGACAAGAGGTGCTGGAGGAACAGCAGGATGACCAATGGATACCACGGGGGGAAGCGGTGGTTGTGGATGTCGTTGGTGACCCTCAAGACGCTGTAGCCCGGCTACTAGGATACTGATCTGCGACGAGATGGAGTGTAGTAGGTAACGACATTCTCGTAAAAGGTCTCCATGATCCATGACAGCACAGGAAACGGCCGATAATGGTGGAGTGATCCGATCAGTAGCAAACCCCAAGCTGCGGAAGCATCAAGATTATAAGCAACCAAGCAAACAACAAGGTGCATCAATCAGCAAGCATGCAATAACACGGTGAGCTTTTTTGGATGAGAAGCGTCATGATGGATACCACGAAAACAGCTGGCACAAACCGCGTAGTGGTAGTGCAAGGGAGTTGTAATTGAGCGAAATGCCGAAGGCCTTTACCAGAACATATCC